GTTTCACGTCCCCTCGTTCTCCCGGAACTTGGTGGGCGTGCGACCCCTTGTGAGTCAGCACGTGGGTGTGTGGTTTGAGCCTTCTGGAGAGACTGCGGTGTGTGTTGACGGGGACTCTTACCAGCCTCTCGCCACTTTTGCTGCTGAGCCGGGCTCCGGTCTCTACACTCTTCACACTGGCCCGCGCGCTCAGCAGCGACTGCAGCAGCAGCAGCAGCAGCCTCAGCAGCGGCAGCAGCAGCAGCCGCAGCCACAGCGGCCGCCGTCGCAGCAGCCACTCCTCCCAGTTCCTGTCCCTCCCCCTAGTCTCCTCCCTGCGTCTCACCAGGTGGTTCCGTCCCCTCAGGTTGTCGCGTCCAGTCCAGTCGCTGCGTCTTGCTCCTGTCGGTCGCTTGCCCACCCCACCGTTCTGTGGCACCACCGGATGGGACACCCTTCTCTTCCACGTCTGCGCGCTATGTCTAGTCAGCGTCTGGTCTTAGGTCTCCCGCGTGTCTTGCCGTCGCTGCCGCCGTCCCTTGCACCACCGTGCGGTCCTTGCGTCGAGGGTAGGCTGCGTGCCACCCCTCACTCCTCCTCCCTTCGTCCGGCCACCGAGCCTTTTGAGACGCTGCACTTGGACGTCTGGGGCCCCTCTCCTTGCCCTGGCCCTGAGCGTGAGCGTTTCTTTTTGGTGGTCGTTGACGACTACTCCCGCTATACCACAGTGTTCCCCCTGGCGAGGAAGTCTGAGGTGACTTCTACGCTGATCAGGTGGTTGCTTACCACCCAGGACACTCGTGGTCGTCGTGTCAGCTGTCTCCACTCCGACCGCGGGGGCGAGTTTCGCTCCGGCATTCTCGCTGGATTCTGTCGCGAACAGGGCATTCGTCAGTCCTGGACGCTTCCGGAGTCCCCACAGCAGAATGGGGTTGCTGAGCGTCGCATAGGCCTGGTCATGGAGATTGCCCGCACCTCCTTGACTCACGCCCGTGCCCCCCATTTCCTGTGGCCATACGCAGTCAGGTACGCCGCGCACCAGCTGAACCTCTGGCCACGCGTCTCTCGGCCGGAGGCTTCACCGACCAGTCTTTGGACAGGGTCCCCTGGTGTCGCGTCGAGGTTTCGTGTCTGGGGGTGCTTGGCTCTTGTCCGCGACACCTCCGCGGACAAGCTCTCGCCTCGCGCCGTTCCTTGTGTCTTCCTTGGTTTCCCTGAGGACTCCTCTGACTTCACCTTTTACCACCCTCCCTCTCACCGGTTCTTTGACTCCCGTGACGTCCGTTTCGAGGAGTCCACCCCGTACTACGTCAGGTACCCCAGTCGAGGTCTCCTGGTTCCTCCTCCCCCCCTCTTCCTGACAGCCGCTCCCCCGCCTGCTCCCCCGGTACAGCCTCCCCCCCCTGGTCCAGCCCCGTCTGGTGTGTCTCAGGCTAGCCCTCCCCCTTCGGTAGCCCCCCCTGTACAGCCTCCCTCCCCACAGTCTTCCTCGCCGCCTCCTGCAGGTGCTCCCTCTCGGGAGGTTGGTCCTGCGACTGTCCCTGTACAGGTCTCTGGTTCTGGGGGTGCTGGAGTTGGAGCTGAGCCGCGGGTTGCAGAGGACTCTTGTCTTCCGGGGGCTGGTACTGGTCGTGCGGAGTCTGGGGGTGCTGGTGCGGAGTCTGGGGGTGCTGCGTCTGGGGGTGAGGGTGTCCCTTCGGTTTCTGGAGAGCCTGGGTCTGGAGCTGGTGTTGGTGCTGCCTCTGGGGGTGGTGTGCTTGGTGCTTCGGAGGTCGACTCTGGGGCTGCCGCTGCCCCGGACACTACTCCTTCCCCCCACCCCTACCCGACCAGGTTCCAGGCTCGTGTTCGCCGTGCTCGTGAGGAGCAGCTGGAGTTGGAGAGAGAGGAGAGAGAGTTGCAGCGGCTCGAGGAGCAGGAGCGACAGCAGCAGGAGCAGCAGCAGGAGCAGCAGCAGAGGCAGCAGCCGCTGGAGCAGCAGCAGCCACAGCAGCCGCGGCAGCAGCAGCAGCAGCAGCAGCTGCTGCCGTCTCCTCCTCCTGTCTCGGGTCTTCGGACCCTTGGTCTCCCGTCTCCCTCTCCTTCCTCCTCCCCCTCTCCTCCCGTCTCTGGTCCTCCGCTTCCTCCTCCTGACCCCTCTCCCGCTGTTTTCCCTCGTTCTCAGTCTTCGTTGTCTCCTCCTCCTTCTCAGACTTGGGCCTCTCGTCGCTCCCCTCGTGCTCGTCCCTCGTCTCCTGTTCCCTTCACTGACCTTCGTACAGCCTTCCTTTGTTCTCGTCCACCTCGTCCGTCTCCGTCTGTGCTTCCGTCTCCTCCTGAGTCGGCCCTCACTGTGTCGCTTCCTTCTCCTGTCACTGACTACTACCGCACGTACCGTCCTGTTCTCTCTCGTGTTCTCGCCTCTCTTGTTACCCACCCTCGTGCCTCTGTGTCCTCTGTGTCCGCTCTTACTGCCGCAGTCACTGAGTTTGCCTCTACCCGCCGCCTTGACTTCGCCACCGCTCTTGTGGCAGCTCCTCCTTCCAGTCCTCTGGCCGTCGGGGGTGTGTCTGCCCTTGGCTGTGACGCCCTAGAGGACAGGCAGTTTGAGCTAGAGTTCCTGGCGGCCGCTTCCCCTCATCTCTGTGCCATGCTCCTCGCCCCTGAGGGTGACCCCGACGCCCTTGACATTCCGACTCCTCGCACTTACGCTGAGGCAGTGTCAGGGCCTTGGGCCTCTCAGTGGAGAGCTGCCATGGACGCAGAGATGGCCTCCTACAGATCCACAGGCACCTACGTCGATGAGGTTCCCCCTCCGGGGGCGAACGTAGTCGACGGCATGTGGATCTACAGGGTGAAGCGGCCACCGGGATCTCCTCCGGTCTTCAAGGCGCGCTACGTGGCTAGAGGTTTCAGTCAGCGCGAGGGAGTTGACTTCTTTCAGACCTTCGCGCCCACCCCGAAGATGACCACTCTTCGGGTGTTACTACACGTAGCAGCACAGAGAGACTACGAGTTACACTCTCTCGACTTCTCTACTGCTTTCCTTCAGGGCAGTCTTCACGAGGAGGTCTGGTTGCGTCGTCCCTCTGCCTTCACTGGCTCTTTCCCTCCTGGGACCCAGTGGAGGCTGAGGCGACCGGTTTACGGTCTTCGTCAGGCTCCTCGTGAGTGGCACGACACCCTGCGTTCTACCCTGTCTGACCTTGGGTTCCAGCCGTCTTCTGCTGACCCGTCGCTGTTCGTTCGTCGTGGCCCCACACCTTTCTTTGTTCTGGTCTACGTTGACGACCTTGTTTTCGCCACCCCTGACAGGGTTGCTTTGGCACACGTGAAGTCCGAACTGCAGAAGAGACACACCTGCACTGATCTTGGTGAGCTGCGCCACTACCTTGGCCTGCAGATCACCAGGGACAGAGCTGCTCGCACCATTACACTTTCACAGTCGCACATGGTGCAGCAGGTCCTTCAGCGGTTCGGGCTTCAGCACTCCACAGTACAGCGCACACCTCTTGCTGTTGACCACAGACTCACTGGACCCTTTCCTGACGAGCCGTTCGAGCCTAGTGGTCCCTACGCAGAGCTTGTGGGTTGCCTCATGTACCTGATGACTTGTACTCGCCCGGACCTCGCCTTCCCTCTCAGCGTTCTTGCGCGCTTTGTTGCGCCAGGGAGACACCGTCCTGTTCACTGGACAGCAGCTGTGAGGGTGGCGAAGTACCTAGCGACGACGTCAGGCGTGGGGCTAGTTCTTGGAGGGCAGCAGGCTGAGATCTACGCTGGTGCCATGGCGGCACAGGAGCTGCGTTGGTTGACCTTCTTGCTCACCGACCTTGGTGAGCGGCCGAGCTCTGCACCGACCTTGTTCACTGACAACAAGGCGTCTATTCTCCTTTGTCGAGAGCCACGACTGGAGAGCAGAGTGAAGCACATTCACGTCAGGTACTTTCTTCTGCGAGAGTTGCAGAGGCGTGGACAGGCTCGCTTTGAGTTTGTGGAGTCCGAGGCCAACACTGCAGACATCTTCACCAAGGCGCTTCCGCCTTGTGACCACCAGAGGTGCTGTGTGCAGTTAGGCCTTGTTGACACTGGTTCTCGTGTTGCTTAGGCTTGAGTGTACTGTTTACTTTGCTTTCTATATACCTCTGTTACTTCTTGGACTGGCCTTGTGGCCACTGTTGTTTGTGCTCAGACTGTGTGGTGACGTTGTGATCCACCCTGAGCTTCGTTTCTTGGACTGGTCTTGTGACCGTACTCGTTTGGTTCTGCTAGACACCCCTCACTTAGGCTATGGGGGTGTGTCAAATGTTGTAGCCTATAGTGAGGTTTGTCTTAGGGGGTACAAAACTTAGGGTTAGCTATATGTACCCCAACCAACATCAATGCATCATCCATTCCTCATTTTGATACTACGGACCTTAGTGCTCTGAAACCATGTTAGAATCTAGCAGCAGGAATGACTGAACTAACAGGATGCAGGAGTACAAGTAGTAAACCCTAATTGGGTTGTACCCCATATGGGCTACCCCACTACAGCCTAGACAATATGCAGCACATATAGTTTGACACTAGAGCCTTTTCGGCTTGGTTCTTGCGCAAAGAAAAGTTCGGTGCCTCCAATTTCTGCCGATGTGCCGACAAATGTTTAGAAAGCGCATGAATCCCTATAGGCGTAGGGAAAAGCATTCAACAACCTGGATGTTATTGCGATTTTATATATTTCTGTATAACTGCATGTAGTGTGGTTATTGCCATAGTCCTTGTAGGTGGTGCACCCTTTGCCATCTCTCGCTCCTATATCTTGTACCTTGTTCTCTTAGTGAAACACATTCTCCAATTCCTCCCTACTTGCTAGGCTGTTCCTAAACCTTTGTCCTAGGTAATTTCAACACGTACTACAGGTTATTCGTGCATTCTCTATTAAGATATAGTATGCATACACGGCGAAACATCTTTAGATAGGTACGCCTGCTCTAAGCACACTAAGAAGCGTTCCTCTTTTTAAGCACCCTCAGGAGTAGTCCTAACCATTTCCCAAACATTCACCACGCCACATCAGTGCCATCATAAGCGATAAACCGCCCATTGTCCTTCTCGCCCAGCCCATCTAGAACACCCAGTAGCTGCTCGGCAGCGAAATCGGGTGTGAAAATCTTATCGGCCGGCAAGTGTGCAGTGAACGGGCGAGTAAGGTCGGTGTCTACAGTGCCGGGGTGTAGCAGCACCGCCACCACTGGGCTCTTCTGGGCGGCCAACTCCACTGCTGCCGTCTTGGTGACTGGGAGAGGAAGGGAATGAGTGGGGCAAGGGTGGTAAAAGAGGGGAGGAGAGGGGAAGAGGGCAAGAGAATGAGTTGGGAAGGGAATGAGTGGGGAAGGGTGAATGCAGCAGGGGAGAGGGACAAAGGACTAAGGTGTAGCAGCACGGCCACCACTGGGCTCTTCTGGGCGGCCAACTCCAGAGGGAAGAGTAAGTAGTGAGGGGGAAAGGAGTAAGGGGTTTAGGGGGAAGGAGTAAAGGGCTAAGGGAAAAGGAGTGACAGCAACTGAGGCTACACTGGTAAGGAGTGACAGCAACTGAGGCTACACTGGTACATGTTACCCATTATGACACTGCACTGAGATGGTTGAGAGCAGCTTTGGATGCCTGATACGAGTACCACCCCCCAACGTGGTACCCTCTTATGGACCCGGTGAGAGAGCTCATGTTGGCCACAACTGAGGTTACACGTATACACTTTGCTCGTTATGAAGCGGTAGTTGACTCACACTGGTTGAGAGCAGCTTTAGACGCGCGGTAGGAGTACCACCCCCCGATGTGGTTATCAGAGATGGACCCGGTGCGAGAGCTCATGTTGGCCACTATTGGGGTTGGTAAGACCACCACTCTCCCAGCGAATTCCCCACCCACCACCACAGAGAACCACTGGACTCACACTGATTCAGAGCAGCTTTAGAGGCACGATAAGAGTACCAGCCGCCGATGTGGTTATCAGAGATGGACCCGGTACGCGAGCCCATGTTGGCCACTATGGAAAACGGGCGATTGGGGTTGGTGTGACCTCCCGTCACCAGCACATTCCCACTCACCACCACCATAGTGCAGCACTGAACTCACATTGGTTGAGAGCAGCTTTAGAGGCGCGGTAGGAGTACCAACCCCCAATGTGGTTATCAGAAATCGACCCCGTGCGAGAGCTCATGTTGGCCACTATGGAAAACGGGCGATTGGGGTTGGTGTGGCCGCCTGTCACCAGTAATGGCATCATGTGCTGTAAAGGGGAAAAGAGGAGGGTGGGAGCGGGGGAAGGTGGAGTGAGTCGACAGTGACACAGCCACAGCAAATGCTGCAGTTCATTGGGCGGAGAGATGGAATGAAGCAGTGATGATGGTGCATCGGTGCTGTAACTTGTGGTTATCAGGAAAGGAATGGCAGAGTCGATAGGCGAACATCGTTGTGGTTTACCACCGCAATGCTCTCGAAACCATTGATCCAGCTGCATTCTGTCACACCCATGCCATGCCATCCAAGCCCACACCATACCATCTCGCCCCACCAGCTGTCACCACCATCACGGCGTTGACTCTCGTTGACCAGTGGGACCAGCACGCTATTGACTCAACCAGAGCACACGCATGGACCCATGGCGTTGACTCGTGTTGACCAGTGGGGCCAGCACGCTATTGACTCAACCAGAGCACACGCATGGACCCATGGCGTTGACTCGCGTTGACTCACCTTGAGCACGAGCATGGGACCCATGGCGTTGACTCGGTAGGCCAGCAGCATGGCGTCCTGGCACAGCCAGTGCAGACTGCTCTCTGGGCAGGAGAGTGGGAGGGAATGTCAAAGGAGAGGGACGGGGAAGAGGGAGGGACGGGGTTAGGAAGGAAGGGGAAAGGGGAAGAGGGCAATCCGACTGGTTTGACTACCTGCAAGAAGCACGGTGATCTAGCACAGCCGGCAGCATGGTGTCATGTCTCAGCCAATGCGGGGTGTTCTGATACCCGATACGAGTACATTGAACACACTATACCGTCCATCCGGACTGTAGTACGCACTCATACAAGGCTGTAGCAGCATGCTCAAGGATAGGAGCAGCATACCCAGCCGGCTGCATCAGCAAACCTGGCTGCAGCAGCAAACCCGCCTGCTTGCTCGAAAGTGCAGCACACCCAGCAGTAGCTGTAACAGCCCCTTTGCAATTGTAGCAGCACATTAGGCTGCAGCATAGCAGCATACCCGGCTGTAGCAGCGAATCTGGCTGTAGCATAGCGGCATACCTGGCTGTAGCTCGTTGGGGCGGTGCAGCACCCCCGCCACGTTCAGCAGCAGGTCCAGCTTGCCGTACTTCTGCCGCACTGCTGCTGCTACAGCCTGGAAGGGTGAGACGGGAAGGGAGGGAAAGGATGAGAAGAGAGGGGGCATTGGATGCCACGTTCAGCAGCAGGTCCAGCTTGCCGTACTTCTGCCTCGCCGCTGCTGCTACAGCCTGGTGGGATGTTGGGAGGATAGGGGAGAGTGGAAAGAGAAGGGGGTTTTGAGTTGGTGAGGAAAGGGAGAAAAGGTGGGGAAGAACGACAGAGGAAAAGGGAGGGCAGAAGAGAGGAGGAAAGGACAGGGGGAGAGGAGGTGAGGGTGGGGAAAGGGGGGTGGGAAGGAAGGAAAGAGGCATGAATGACATCACACCTGCCACTCGTAGGTGTGAATCCTCAAGAGTGCTAAGAGGCCCTTGTTTCCTTTTGCGATAATGTTTCGACTCTCATCCTTATAGACACATCCAGAAGCTAAATGTAGTTATTCAGGCCTCTGTGCACCTCTCTCAATGTTGTATCACATCCAGTTGCATCAAATGCATCGCATCTCGTACCGAGCCCCCTTACCTCAATGGTATCCTCTTTAGTCACATCCAGTTGCATCACATCCAGCCGCCCACCGCTCTGGTCGTGCAGTGCGTCCAGGTGCTGCGCGCCCATCGGATCTCGACACGTGGCAATGACGCGGCCGGTCGGCTGCCGCTTCAGCAGCTGCTCCACCTGTCCACGTGGCAGTCAGGGAGGAAAAGCCGGGGGGAGAGGATAGGGCGTGGAACAGGGTGAGAGGGAAACAAAAGTGAGTGGAAACGCGAAAGAAGATGAAGGTCGGAAACTTCTTATTGGGAAAGAAAGGGAATCGACCGACTGGAACAGAAAGAAACGAAGAGCTAAAGAACACGGGCACAACGTTGTTGGGTTTCCAAGTTCACAAGGAAAGAAAAGGAAAGCTGAAAAAGAAAAAAAGGCATGTTCCAATGAATCAACATTCGGTCTATATAGAATGGCGATTGAAGCAGCTTACAAAGGCGAGGCCAATGCCTTTATCGGACGCCTGAACGAGCGACACCGTCTCTTCCGCCACGGACGGCCCAGACGACTGCGACAAATCCGCCGCGGGACACGCGCACGAGTGAAAACGCAGCTGCCGCTGGGCTCCGCCAGCGGCAGCTGCGCCGGTTGCGGCGGCTGCGCCAGCGGCGGCGGCGGCGGCGGAGCAAGAGCTGGTGAGGTGCTGCCTCGCGGCAACGGAGAGTGCGCCTCCGTAAAGTCCGGCGAGGATCGGCCTGGCGGCTCGCCGGAGCAATGAGACGGACGCGGAAGCCATGGATGGGGGAGATGCGCACCGAGCAGGCTCTAGTGTTAGGTGTGTTTTCGTGTGTGTTTTTCAGGAGTCAGTAACCGAGAGAAAAAACGTCTCGGTTTCCGATGTTACACAATGCGTGCTTCTTTGCAAGGCAAATGCGAGAGGATCAAACCGACCGGGGCAACGACGCCGCAATGGAAGGAAATCACAAGAACAACAGCAAGAGCCAGCGTCTGCAGTGGCGAAACGGCGATCAGCGATGGTGTTCAGCAGCGTTGCCACTGACATGTGACAACAATGCGCCTAGAACATGAATTCTATGCAAGTGACTGAAAAGGAGTGAAAGGTGAATTTCAAGAAATTTAAGGTCGGCAAGGAAGGGAGAGAGCTTACGCGAAGCACTTTCGTTGTCTACGTTTCCGTTCGGTTGAGATGGGTGTCAGCATAGTTTCGCTGGGCATTTGGCTGCAGTACTTTCAATGTGCCAGCGTCGACAACTGGACCGAGAATCAGGGAGGCTTGGGGTATCGCCAGCTCATTATCTGGCCCTCCCACGTCGTTCTCGCTGAGTTTTGTTTTCGGCTCTACGTTGATTGGTGCAATGGGCAGCCAGATCCTTGCGCCGCTCACAGCTGATTGGCTGGTAAGCCGCCCTCAATCATTCACCATACAAGAGTTTGGCACGGGAGGAAGATAGATGAAAAGGTAATTCATATTTATCATACTAGCATTTAGAATTGTTCACAAAGAAACTCTTACAAGCTACATATATCCAGCTTTCGCTCACCTAAAAGGAGCTGCATTTCGAAGCTCCCTGTACATCAACATACCAAAAGCAGCCTCCAAAGCACCCAACATCCAAACCCATCACATCCAACCCTCTACACATACAGCCAACACATTCAAAACCCTCACTTCAACCATCATTCCACCCAGTCCCGGTACATGAACCCTAACCTGACGAAGCAGCCAACTCCTCCTCGCCCTCACCTCCCCCCCGCCTCTTCTGCAGTGCAAGTGTCCCACTGAGCGCACAGTAAAACCTGATCCAGGTAAACCTACTAACCATAGCCAGAAACACCGCTCCTTCCGCCAACAGCCGGTGAAACGACGGCAGCCCTGGCCCGTCATACCCTGATGGTGAAACTCTGCAGGAGCACGAGATGGTGGGAGTGGTCTGCGCCCCTGACAGTCGCAGCAGCTCCATTACCGTCAATGGCTGATACTTCGGAGGGTCGCTCATAACAATATTATCCACCTTGTGAGAGTAGATCTTCCCAGAACTATCCAGCTTATACTCTGAGGTGCCGTCGAAGCGGCCGTGGGCCTCCCAGGGGAGGCGGGGGATGCCGCGGACGGACCAGCGGATCTGGATGGTGCGCTCGTTGGGCTGCCACACGCGCAGCACGTCCACACAGAGCGCCTTGAAGAAAAACTTGCCGTGGAAGCGCAACGCCTTGAAGATGAGGCGGTAGTTGTCGATGCCCTTGAATGTGTTCATGGGATCCTGGAAGGTTATGTCCTCCCTGGTGGGCAATGCGAGCACAGGAGGCACAGATAGAGGAGACAGAAACGCTGTTGAGGCATATCAAAGGGGTTATTATTGAAGCCGTCTCTCGTGGAAGGTTATGTCCTCTCTTGTGGGCGAACATAGGAAGCACAGACGGGAGCAGGAATACTGAAATATGAGGCGTGTGAACTTGTTACCGGTCAATGGCCATGTATGTGCTGAATTCACTGGACAACCGAACACATCACACTCTTTCAAGTACACACCTGTAGATGTCATAAGTCATGTCCCGGTAGAATAGAGTAGGCAGCTCCTCTCGTAGCGTTCTGATGGCGTACCCCACATTCACATAGTAGTCGTCCCTCAGCTCACGATCCTTCTTTGGCTGCAGATGGAACATGCACAAAGAGAGGAAAAAAACAGGACGAAAACGGGGGGCAGATACAAAGAAACGGATGGGCAATACAGGAGGACCAGAATTCGTCCAAAAGTGCACCAGCAGAAGTTCTTCATGATAGACGAAGCAGATGCATAAGAGAGAGGATTAAGCCATCATTGGAAAGGGCTGCCATGTCCTTGGAGATTCGTTGGACTCGTACCAAGTGACGTACCTCTAAATTTGTCTGAAGCTGGGTGCTACCAGGTGGGTCCGAGGTGGCAACTCCTAGTACATGCTGATGGGGGAACTGCAGGGATGATAAGAACCGTGCGCAACAGACGAGAATGTGCGGAAGGGAAGAAGAACGGGAGAGAAAGCGAAAGAGATGAGAGGTTGAGGGCAGCAGCAGACATGAAAAGACTGGGTTATAGTGAAAGAGTAAGAGACGAAGAGGGGGAAGCTAGGAGGGCACGCCAACCAAATATGAATGAATGGTGAGAGCAGGTATGAGAAAGCACAGAAAACGACAAGTCAAAAGACAACGCTACTTAAGCATGTGCAATCACATACCTTTCTGCCGTTAGCTTCTTCCACATCCACCCTTGTCTCTTCTTCGGTCATGGAAACTGCGAAACGTGATGAGCCAAGTGCAGAGGAAAGATGAAAGGCTCAGCAGGAGTAAACTAAGTCGGCCTGACTGGCAGAAGCCATGGATGCAACCAGAGAAGGCTTATCACGAGAGATATGGCGGGAAATCCCAACAATGCCTATGCTTCACGGAACTGGATGCATGTGTATGCCTCACAGCACTCACCTAGGGGAAGCAGGCTGCCATCCAGTAAATAATGCGTGCCCTGCAGGCTGGAGGAGGGATCGAACAGAGGGGAAAAGACGAATTAATGAACGAGACGCAGGGGAAGTTCGGTAAAAGGCACGAACAAAACTCACCCTTCACGCTGCACACTGAAGTGAGCAGGAATCTCCACCGTCTCAGATTGCCCTAAAATTCCAACACGACCACCAGACCTAGGGATCTCCACCGGCTCCTCTGCCAACCCGTTGGCGTGAAAAAGCGCGCTGAACACGAGACGCCATCTCGCCATATCTCCCATCTCAGAAGGTTCCTGTTCTGGCATTGAAGCTAGCTGCACATGTTCCGGATTCTGTTGAACGGATGCTTGGCGATGTGAGTGTGGTTTCTGAGGCTGGAAGCCCAGAGGGGGAGGACAGATAGGAATCCAGGGTTGAGGAGATGTAATCGGGAAATGACACGACGAAGCTTTTTCGCGTCGGAAAGGAAAGCAGTGGCCTAACGAGCGGTTGCTGGGGACAGCGCGACGAACTGGCAGCGAACAGTGGAGCCCGAAGCCAAACCGATCATGTGAATCTGAAGTGTACTTCAGAGTGATCTTCTACCTGAAGTGGTGGTAAGACTGGCGTGGCTACTCGAGAGGAGGAGCCTGAGCGAGATGCAGCCACCACGGCACCGGCTGGTGCGGAAGGTCTGACCGCCATTTCTGCTGCAAGAATGTCGAAGATGAATCAGAACAAGTGGATGAAAAACAATGACTATTCTTCGTCAGACCTTGAAACTGGATAATTATTTCTGATGCCATGTCACCTTGTTACCTGCAAGGTTCATCATCGCAGCTGCCATTGTGGTGCAGCCAGAGAATACACCCTCTGAGATTGCAAGAATAGATGGAGAAATCTGGAGACGAAACCCGACGGCTGAACGGGAGATAAGCCTAAATTCCAATACGTGATATCGTCAAATTAGATGAGCGCTTAGATTAAAAGTCCTTCCACGAGCTCCTTATCCACACTATCGAATGAACCTGACGATCAAATAGACTTGAAGAAATGACACCCGTGTAAGGTCGGGTACTTCGCACACAAGCACTCCTGAAATAACTAACAACCACCGCAATGTTCTACGCAATGTTCCTTATCAACAACAGCTCGTCGGCTTGACGAAAGAACTGCTCCTAGAAATACTGTACGAAAAGGCTCTTGGGCTTCTATCGTACACGAACCTATCAACCGCGGAGGCAAGCTGATAAAAAACGGCCCTCTTTACCTCACGCGTCTTAGTGGAGCAAGACGGATCAATTATTCAAATTAAGCTCAGGCTCCTAAAGTTCCTAGAATTGCTCCTGAAAAGCAAGAAGTTCCTGATGTTTGTGGAGCATGTTTCTGGCTGCAAGCACTTCTTCCTAGTTCCTGGAACCATGAGTTCCCGAGGTACAAACAGTGCTGCGTGCTGATTCCCTACAAGCGGATAATCCCGATGCCTGACAGTCGGAATATCCGAGCTGACGGTGGAACCTCGACTTGACGGCCGGCGTGCAGGGTGACGGGAAGGCGCAACTTTACAGGCTGACGACAAGATGGATAACGAAGATGGCGACTATCGCCAATGGGCTCGCATCCACGCTCGCTTGGGCGGGGCCTTCTCGAAGGCACTCAGCAAGCAAGGTCGTTATAAGCACAGTCCTTTTGCCTGCTGGAAGACGTGGCATGATTCGTGACCACGTCACGTTACGGACTCTCCGCTGTGCGGCTTGCCAAACTGCCACGTGATCTGTGAGACACGCAACCGTCAGATGGCATCGATAACAAAAAGAAGGGCTAAAAGTCAAATATCTACAGTTGTAACTACCTAAATAGTAAGCAATAGCACATCTACAACACAAGACAGGCACCAACGCATAAAAGCTTGCACTTAAGCATACTGGAGTTAGCTAGCCTCTAGTAGACGCTCGCTTGAGCTCTGGCTCGTCGCCATCACTGCCAAAAGTATCCTTGGGAGAAGCTTTCGGCAAAGCCTCACCATTTCTACCACCACTACTTACCGGCCTCCTGCCTCCGCTGCTACTTGGCCGTTTCACCACTGGCAACGGCCTTTCAAATCCAAATGGAATCCTATTGTCTGCGCTCCCACTAACACTACCACCACTCGAACTATAATTTATGTTGCTGCTTGTAGCACTGTACGTGCTTCCCCCTCCTGTGCTTCCAACGCCAGGGTTACCACCTCCGCTACTCTCCAAGCCGCCCACACTAATCCTTCCCCCACTTCGTATACTACCATCGCCGGTTACGCTCTTGTTACGAAACCCACTAGCAGCTTTACCGGCAGCTGGACCACCAGAACCACCATCAGGGCCAGCAGCAGCAATTGCAGCACTAGATGCAGCACTAGCACCACCAACAGCAGCAGGAGCGGCATCAATAGCCCGGCCATCATTAGCACCACCGCTACCACTGCTAACACCACCACCACTACCGCCCTCACCACCGCCACCACCACCACCACCGCCACCACCACTAATCCCCCTTCCGCCACCGCCGCCGCCACCACCACCACCACCATCAAGGCCACTCCCTTGCCCTCCTCTCATACTCCCCCGCCCACCAAAACTCCCAGCCCCACTCCCGCTACTCATACTCAAATTACTTCCCCGCAAGCTGCTGTGCCGGCCCCTCTCCTGCTCGCTCAGCCCCCTCTGCAGCACCCGCAGCGCCCCTCCAATGCTCCGACTCAGCGAATTCCCCCTCGACCTAGGAGGGGTTGCCCCTCCCCCCGCCCCGTCCCTCAGGCTTCGCCCATCCCCCTCCCTGTCCCGCTCCCCGTCCCACTCCTCATCGTCGTCATCCCTCTCGATCCACACGTTCCGAAGCCTGTCTCTGCGCAACCCCAGCCCTGTACGACACTCGCACGTGACTGCATCGGAAGGGCGGGAGGACATGACCGATCCAGAGGAGACACTGGAGGACGAGCCTAGCATGGGAGGCGTGGTGGGACGAGAGGAGGAGCCTAGCAGGAAGGGCAGAGAGGCTTTTAAGGGAGGGGTGGTGGGGCGGGAGGAGGAGGTGGTGGGGCGGGAAGAAGGGGTGGTGGGGCGAGAGGAGGAGGAGGGAGCAGTAGAGGGGCGAGGGCTAGACGAGGAGGTGGGTTGGGAAACGGGTAGTGGGGCGGAGGGAGAGGCGGAGAGAGGGAGGTGCGTAGAACAGCTGCAGCAGCAGCAGCAGCAGCAGCAGCAGAAGCAGGAGCTGTGGAGGGACGAGTCTTAGGCGATTCAGACGAAGCAGATTGGCTTTCACTGCCAATAGACCTGTCCAAAGAAAATGACACCTGAGCCTGCAGCACTGCAACAGACTGTGCCTGCACCTCTTCCTCTGCCTGTGCTTGTGCTCTCAGGGCCTTAACTTTCAAGGCGTGTGCTTTCACAACCTCTGCCTGTGCTTGCCTCGCTTGTTCTTTCAAGGCCTGTGCTTTCGCGGCCTCTGCCTCTGCCTCGGCCTGTGCCTGTGCCTGTGCTTTCAGGGCCTCGGCCTGTGCCTGCGCCAGCAGCCCCTCAGTGGTCACAAACGGCTCGTCACGCGTCTCCTTCCTCGCATTGAGCCGCTGTAAACTGGCAACAGGCGCTGGGGACTTTGGAGTAGCGTCGTAGGCCACACACGTGGGCGACAGGAGCGCGGGGGGCACGGGCGCGCGGAACGTGGATGACACTCGGCCGTGGGACGGCGGTATGATTGTAATGGAGGGCGTGGAGTGCTCTGATTGGCCGAGAGGGCTCACAGGGCGGTTGGCATGGCTGCTGTCTGGGGTGGTGGTGGTGTTGGAGGGGGTGCTAGGGCTGAGTCTAGAAAGACCGTGGGGTGATGCTGGGCTGGATGAACCATCCCTGGTTGCACCCTCCCTGAATCCACCTTCCCTGGATGCACCTACTGCTGCTGCTCCACCTGATTCTGCTGTTTCTCCCCTACCCCCACTGCCGCTGCTGCTGCTGCTCTCACCACCCAAACCAGCAGGTGGGGTATCAGCAAAGCGCACATAAGCACGCGGCGATTTAGGCGGCCCATCGGCATACCCCCTGGGAGACCTCGGGTTGTCACCTCCCCCAGATAAATCCGCGCTATTAGCAGCTGAGCCCCGGAAAGGGGGGCGCACGGGGGGCTGTGAGGGAGGGCGCGGTTTCAAAGGGCCTTTTGGGGAGCCGAGGGTGTCAGGTGGTGGTGGGGTGGGAGGTGTGGCAGAGGGGGGAGGAGACAGGGCAGGAGTGGCTTCGACGAGTGAAGATATCTGGGAAGATGGTAGAGAGGAGGTGGAGAGCAGAGACTGAGCGAGGAGAGAGGGGGAGAGCAGAGGTCCGACTTGGCCTGGGGTGGATGCATCAGGTGCTGCTGGTAGTGCAGGGAGGGGACGGAGGCCTTTCTGAGTCAAGTCGGATGACCTAAAGAGAGCAGCAGAAGAGCCAGCAACAGAGACTGATGCCGACGTGGGAAACCTTGCCCGGGCAGAGGTAGCAGCAGCAGCAGCAGAAGCAGAAGCAGGAGAAACGGACCTGGGAGCTGAAACCGACCCAGATTTCACCAGAAAACTCGCAACAGGCTCAGCAGCAGACGCCCCAGTGGGAGACAACGGCACAGCAGCTCTCGGCGACAGCTCCGGGGCCTTCCCTTTCTCCGTGACCTTCCCCACCTCTGTCGCCGGCTCGAACACCATAGGCAGCGGCGCGCCCTGCACGATCCCTGCAGCAGCGCGCTTGGGTTTGAAGATCCCTGAGATCATGACCGCGCGCGGCTTCTTCGAATCCGCGGAGGCTTTGTCGAGCTTCTTGCGGGCCTCGGCAGCCATGGCTTCCATCTTGCGCGAGTTGAGCTGCGTAAGGTTGGAGGCATCGGAAGCGACGAGGCGGGACACTCCCTCCAGGGCATCCAGGAGGGATGCATCAATCACTGCTTTCTGTGCATGGTACAGCGTCTGGGGGGGAAGGGGGGCGGGGGAGAGGGGAAAGGGGAGACGAGGTGGGTGGGTAGGAAATGAGCTCTCAGCCATATCAGAAGCCGCCTTCATGACTCGCCAGTGCGGCCATGGCTTCCATCTTGCGCGAGTTGAGCTGCGTAAGGTTGGAGGCGTCAGAAGCGACGAGGCGGGACACACCCTCCAGGGCGTCCAGGAGAGGGGCATCTATGACTGCCTTCTGTGCGTGGTAGAGCGTCTGGGAGGAGGGGAGAGGGGGAGGGGTTGAGAGGGAAGAGGGGAAGAGGTAGGAATTGTGTTGCATTGGAGTTCACATAAGGCCTCACTATCGTGATGCACCACCCTTCACTCGTCTCTCCTCACCTGCACTCTTAGCAAACACGTCGCCGCGCAATTCAATGACGGCTTCACAGTGATGACATCGTTCCATTCGTGTGCACTTCTTAGCGATCAACCAATCATGTGATGGGCCAGCAGCGGTTGCAAGCACTAGACGTGGGCGCATGAACAACTGTCTCTCCTCACCTGCACTCTTAGCAAACACGTCGCCGTGTGGTTCGATGACGGCTTCACAGTGATGACATCGCTCCACTTGTGTGCACTTCGTAGTGATGGTTGCTCCAACCAATCGTGTGATGTGCCAGCAGCGGCAGTTGCAAGCACTAGCACTAGGTGCATCAACAACTGCCTCTCCTCACCTGTACTCTCAGCAGGCGTGTGGCTTTGCGGTTTGAAGACGGCTTCACAGTGATGGCATCGTTCCACGCAATTGTGTGCTGTGCCAGCGTCGGCAGCAGACTCAGCGCCTTCCGCATGCGCCTCTCCCACTCCTCCATATCCTCGTCGTCCTCCTCCCCCTCCTTCCCCGGTCCTCCTTTCCCACCCAGACCACGCGGGTCATTCAATGGACTAGGCTTTTTCAACCAAGTAAACCCATCATCATCATCATCATCCTCATCCTCATCATCCCCATCCTCGTCCCCATCCTTTCCTTTCTCCCCTTTCTTGTCTGTGCCCTTGCGAGTTTGCGAGTCGCCGGTTTCTTCTGTCTTGGCGTCTTTGCTCTTGGAGGAGGTCACAGGCCGGGAGAGCCGCAGGGCGAGGTCTTTCTTCGTGCTGTAGGTCAGCAGGCCGTACAACTCATCTCTGGAAGGAGGGAGACACGGAAATTGGGAAAGGGGGGACCGGATTGATGACCCTGGCATAGCGCAGCGCCAGCCCAGCGCCAATGGACTTATTACAGTCACCCAGCCTGTTGTCACTCTGCCCATGTGATCATTCTACAATCCCTCAGCTTATCCCCACCCACCGTGTACTCCCAGCGGCCATGAAAGGGTATTTCATGAGCTTCTCTGCCAGGTTGATGACCTTGGCGTAGCGCAGCGCCAGCCCAGCGCGGCCCAGGGAGCCCTCGCGAGTCAAGGCATCGGAGGAGCGCGCGTTGATGGCAAAGACTGAGATGATTCGGTCCCTCAGGAGGATGATGGCCAGCACCAGCAGCTGAAGGGGAGGCAAGGGCGGATGGAAGGATGGGCGAGTGGAAGGAGGAGATGCATACAACTTTGTCGCAGCCGATGGACGGCCTTGGCGCAGCGCAGTGGTATATCAGCACAATCGCGTTGATGGCAATGACTGAGATGATTCGGTCCCTGAGGAGGATAATCGCCAGCTCCAGCAGCTGAAGGGGAGGCAAGGGCGGATGGAAGGAGGAGATGCATACAACTTTGTCGCAGCCGATTGACGGCCTTCCTCAGGGGGGTGATCGCCAGCACCAGCAGCTAGTGAGGATGGGGGCGGATGGGATGGTGGGATGAAGAAAGTGAGAGGTCATCTCAGCGCATATGACTGGCATCCACTCAACCTCACCGCATGGCCTCGTTCTCATTAAATGCGATGTGTTTTGCTGCTGCACCCATGAATAACACGCAGATTGCACTCACCCGCACGACATGGTCCAGTTCCACCGACCAGAGGCACCGACTCTGCAGCTCTGCTATGGTTGCTGTCTGTACGTTGGGAAAGGCATAAAAGCAGGGGTAAAGTGGAATAAAAAGAAGTGGAAACGGGTGTGGAGAGAAAGTGAGGATTAACCACAGGCACTCAGAAAATGGAAGTAAAGGTTCGTGCTTCGGGATGTGGGACGGTAAAACAGTAACCGCACCAACATAGTAAACGCACCAGTTTGAGGATCTCCTCAGCCCCTGGCAGGTCGCAGCGAGGCATCCACGAGGACGAGTCGCCCTCCTTCTCTGCCTCCTCCTTGCCCTCTCCATCGGTCAGGGCGTCACTGTTTTGTGGGTTGGATAGGGATGGAAAGGTGTGGTGGCAGGTGGTGGGAGGGGGGGTTGATGAGGGGGCCATGTGGGATGGGGAGCATGGGGAGGGTGGGGGTTTGGCTTCTTAAAAACACGAGCCACCCTCCTTCTCTGCCTCCTCCTTGCCCTCTCCATCGCCCAGCGCATCACTGTTGCAGACACACAGAGGAAGGAAGGCGAGGTGGAAGGGAGGGTAGTCGGGGGGGCATAAAGAAGGCACGGGGGACTTTCATTCCATTGCAAAGATGCGCACATGGACGCAACGCACATAAAGGCATGCATGGAAATACACCGGAGTAGAAATGCATAAAAAGAGCTGAAGGCAGAGAGAGGCACAGAGGCGTACGCTGAAGCTGCTTGTAGCTCAGAGAGAAGGCTTGTGGCAGGTGCGGGTTTCTTCTTCCTGTGGGAAGAGAAGTGAAAGACAGAGAGAACAGGAGTGACAAGCGTGAGAGGCATGGCAATGGGGTGGGATGGCATGGTAAGGTTGAGGCATGGCAAGGTTGAGGCATTCTTTACCCAGAATTTTGGCATTGTACATCTATCTAGCCAGCTTCCACCCCTTACCTGAGCAGCGAGCGCAGAGTGTTAAGTCTCTCCATGGACTGCGCACCTACTTTGTGTCGACCCAGCAGTGGCATCTCAATGCTGCTCACTCGCGCACACTTGGCTCTCCCCACCTTAGTGTTGAGTGGCCTGAGCATCCCACCTGAGCAGCGAGCGCAGAGTGTTGAGTCTCTCCATGGAGCTGCGCACCTCAGTCTAACATATGCACATGCTGCGCATATATAGTGTTGAGTCACATGGGCATCCCACCTGAGCAGCGAGCGCAGAGTGTTAAGTCTCTCCATGGAGCTGCGCACCTCGCCCAACTTCTCCACCTCCTCCTGCATGAAGCTGTGAGGACCAACAAGGGCAGGCAGAGAAGGGGGAGGAGGGTGTGGGGGGTGGGTTAGGGAGGCGCCTCTCACATATGGCAACACAGCTTATAAGTGTCCAGCCTGGAGTGGGAGAAGTCGATTGTCTCACGCTCTTGGGAATGAAGCAACTCACCAGAAGAGTGTCTCCTGCTCCTGGGCGCCGAGCCTGAAGTGAGAGAAAGCGGTTGTTTTACACTCTTAAGCATTCAGAATCTCACCAGAAGAGCGTCTCCTGCTCCTGGGCATCGAGTCTGAAGTGCGAGAAGACGGTTTCAGGGTGGCGCATCTCCCCAAACACGTTCGCCAGCTGGTGCAGCCGCCTCTCCCCGCACTTGAGCCCCATGGCCGCCACACGCTCGCCCATCCTCTCCAATATTTCCATCAGCTCCAAGCCTGTTGGGGTGAGTGGGGATATCAAAACCTTATTCGCCTCTCCCCCCACTTGAGCCCCATCGCCGCCACACGCTCGCCCATCCTCTCCAGAATTTCCATCAGCTCCAAGCCTGTTGGGGAGAAGTGGAGATTGTTGGAGAAGCCGGTGCCGGTGTTACTGAGGAGGCCAGAGAAGGGCAGCCCCGGACCCAGGGCAGGCAGCGGCATGGCCGTTAGTCCTTAGCAGGCAGCGGCAGAATCAAGAGAAATAGCTTCAGACCCGGGGAGAACAGTGGGGTTACACTGGGGGCGGAGGAAAAAGTCGATAGGGATGAGGGTGGTTAAGAGGGAAGGGGGGAGTACTTAGGGGAAGGGAAGGGACACCTTTTGGGATCGGGTTCCAGCCAAGGGGAATGGGGTGGCATTCGAGAAGCTGGGAAGGGGCGATTAGGGAGAACGGGGTGGCATTCACGGAGGGAGTAAGGGTTGGATTTTATCCTGCTCAATCTCTGACAATGCATCAAGGGAGTAAGTGAAAGATGATTCTGTGGGGGAACAATGTGCGTGAAAGTAAAGGTAGCGCACCCCATCCCGGTTGATTCTAGAAATCGTACCTGCTAGAGTCCACAGGTGCGCAGGGTCAGGGCACACGTACGTGAGCACTGCCTTGTCCTCCTGAGACGGGTGTGTGACGGGCGTGCCGGGAGGGAAGGAGAGAGGGTGGAGAGAGGGAGGTTTTTAGTCAATCAATCATCTCCTCGAACGTACGTAAGCACAGCCTTGTCCTCCTGAGACGGGTGTGTGACGGGCGTGCCGGGAGGGGGGAGACGAGGAGGGGAGAGGGTGGGGACGAGGAGGGGAGAGGGTGGGGACGAGGAGGGGAGAGGGTGGGGACGAGGAGGGGAGAGGGTGGGGACGAGGAGGGGAGAGGGGGGGGACGAGGAGGGGAGAGGGTGGGGACGAGGAGGGGAGAGGGGGGGGACGAGGAGGGGAGAGGGGGGACGAGGAGGGGAGAGGGGGGAGACTTCATAGTCGACGCAAACATCACCTCGAACGTGCGTGTACACCCTTGTCCTCCTGAGACGGGTGTGTGAGGCACGCACGGCGTGCAGGAGGGAGAGAGGGGAGAGTGGGGGAGAGGGGAGACAGGGAGACGGAGTGGAGGGGGCGCGGAACGCGATGGGTTGGGGAGAGAGGGGGAGCGTGGAGGGAGGGGGAGGAATTTTTTTTTTTGGGGGGGGGGGGGGGGGGGGTGGGGAGGGGGGAAGGGATGAAGAGGAGAATGTGACGAACCTGCATGGATGGATGGATGGATGAATGCATGAACGCGCGCACTAGGAATGGATAAACGTGACCATGCGCGCAACAATGGATGCGTACATCGAAACCCGCGGATGCATCGATGCTATGCTGCGGTGCTAAATGTATGCATCCACTACCATTATACATGAATGCGCGTCAACTAGCCCACAAATGCGTCTTAGAGCTTCTGCAATGAACAAGCGCCCTTGACAATGCAACGTGCATGCTAATACGCGAAAACGCGCGGGATTTCAAACCATCAATGGTTGCATTCATGGGTCTTTCTGGCAACTGCCTCTGATGGCTACGCGTCACGGCTTCGCTTACCTGGAGGCTCGTTCGCAGCCGTTCGATCTGCTCAGGGCTGATCGTGGACCACAGCCACAGCAGCTTGCGCATGACGGCAGCAGCCTCGATCGACAGGAACTTGGCCTCTTCGACGCATCGATTAGGTTTAGTCGGCGGAAACCCAAGCTGATCTTTCTTCGTCTTCTTCCGCCTGCCGATGGTTCCGGTGCCGCTCCGGCCGATGGTTCCGCCGCCGCTCCGGCCGATGGTTCCGCCGCCGGTCAAGCTAAGCGATGCGGGTATCGTGTTATAGTACACTCTTTTCGCGAGCTCGAGAACTGGTTCTGGTAACCCGCCTGGCTTGTTTTCTTTGTCGTTGACGGCGTTCGTGACCGTTGACGATTTCATCAACGGAATCCCGCCAAGACCGAAGATTAAGCTGTGGTGATAAGCCATGATAGCTGAATGCGCGTCGCGACGGGTAAAATCTCCTCCGTCAGTTTCGCGATTCAGACTTCACCTGTCGTTGATTGCAAGGTGCATAACCTTAACAGAAAGATATAGCCGCGTTACGCGACGGGCGTCTCTACAGAACATAGGCGTAACTGCAAGATTACAGTTAATCCTGCCATCTGGATAGCTAATGTCAATGCCGAGTAGCCAAAGAGCCTCCGCGACACTCTGCTTTTCAGCCACGCAAGTAGCATTGAAAGTAACAATGTCTCACGCAGAACCTACAAGCGATACAACAAATTCCACGGATTCAGCTACGGATATAGCTAGGATATTAATAATGGTGGTTGACTGGCAGGGCTGTGACTCGTTTGTGAACGACAGAGCCCGGCGGTCTGTGGAAAACTCAGTTGGGCTGTCTGTGTGCATCATCGTCCGTCTGTCCGTCTGTCTTTGATTTTTGTTTTCCTGATGCTGGGCGAATGGTCCCCTTTGGTATTGCCGAACACTGCCACAACAGATAGATCTCCGGGATGGCAGCAGGCAGTTGGACGGACGGACGACGGAGACGTTGACGTAACGGAACAGAAGAATGGCGGCAGCAAGGTGAGGTCTCCGTCTCAACAAGGAAATGGTTGGGCTGCTCGAGTGAAATTGGAAGGTGAGCCGAGCAGGAAGACCGTCCAATGGAACGGCCAGGACAGCGGATTTGACTGCAGCGGAAATATGGTGTCTGCTCAGGGCAGATTGAAACGATTTGTTTGGGGGCTGGGCCTTCCCGCGCGGAAAAAAAACGCTTGGTTGGTGTAGGTGGGGGGGAGGAGTCGGGCGGAGAAGGGGGCGACGCCAACCAGGTTAGGTGCAACCACACCAAGGGCAGCCGTTTGGGAGAGATTCGGCTCGGCGACAGCCAGCAAGGCGAAATCGAAGCCTCCCATGCGGGGCTGGACAGCCACACATGAATCACATAAGAATATTACTGTATTGTCCTGCTTTAGACACCCTTCATGTTTGTACAAAATTTATCAAACCATAAGAGTTGTGGAATTCATTTCATGCTTAAAATTTATAGAAAAATTGTTGGAATAACCGAAAGGTTATAAAGGCATTCCCGAAGCTGTACCACTGTACCAGTACCGCATGAGCTCATATAGAGCACGCGGAATGTCGAGGGTCACCCGAAGGTCAACCGTCTAAGATAGTCAACGGTCGTGACCCTTGACGATTCGGTAACCGCGCGACAGTTAACAGACTGCAACACGGTAACTGTCGAGGATAGCAATAGTCGCGGTTACTGTAGCTATGTAATACAGTTAATAAGGGAATGTACCCCTTAGAGTACATGGCTAGTTAGTTGCTATTTAATTCCTTGTACTTCTATCTTTCAACTATCTTGTTCTCTTTCAACTATTATTCAACAAGGTCACTACAGAGACTTCACTGTCTCCTTTCAGGCTTAACACATTCTATCCTATCCACTGATCCTTTGGTTGTATCAGCATGGTATGAGAGCTAGAGTGGATTATAGGATCTGTCAAAGCCCTCGTTCTTCCTAGAACAACCTTTTATAAAATCATTCATTATATCCTAAAGTCTGCAACACTATGGCTCCTGAAGGGAAAGCTACTGCAGACTCACCGGGCCCACCACCAGCAACTACTAACGCGCCATCAGCGGTGACCTCCGTCAGCGCCGCTGTCGTTGAGCAGCTAGTCGCGCGCATCAACGCTCTTGAAAGCCATCAGGCTATGAGCATTGATGGCTCAAGCTATGCACGTGGCGTTGCTGGACTTCCTCTCCCTGGAGAAGACCGCCGCGTCAACTCCGAGAGATCCTTCACCTTTGACAATCGTCAAGGGTCAGCTCCTGCACAAGACAACCCACAGCGGTCGCAGTCAGACATCGCTTCAATGCAAACCAAATTTGTATTAACTTCGAAATTGAAGACCTCAATCCCTTTCGACGGAAAGGATTTCTACACGTGGAGTTTCGAATTCGAGCTTCTCGCGACAACCGCTCAGATCTGGATGTACTACGACGGAAGTCTGCCTTTTCCATCGGAAGGCACCATCCAGGAGAAGCATCAATACTACCACGAGTCTCTTCTCGCGTACACCGCTCTCCTTCGCAATCTCTCACCTGAAGAACAGCTCGGCATTCGACCGTACAAGACGGAGTGGGCTCCCGCGCACGCATCCTGGGAACACCTGCGCAACTCATACATGGCAACAGATCCAGTCACAATGAGTCGCCTGCTCATGTCAGAATGTTGTATTTGTCTAGCCTGCAGTGGGGTACTCTATAGCGAGTACAGCCCAATCTAGGGTTTGCTATTTGTATCTCAACTGCTGCTAGTCCAAACCCTCTTTCTGTTTCTAAACTTTGCCTACTACTTCTGACATGCTATCAGAGCAGGTCGACCCCCTTGGGTCGATCCTGTGGGTGGGCCCACCACCTAATGCTTCCGCTGCTGTTCTACTTGTCGCGCGCCTCGGTCGCGCGACGCCTCCTGCGCGCGGCGAAAAATTTTTAAGGTTTTCATCCCGCCGTACGCTCGGGGCGTGCGGCGGTTTTCTGCCTACCGTGCGCCCCGAGGCGCGCGGCGGTTTCCCACCGTCGAAGTGCCCCCCGTCGCCCGTCGAAGCGCCCCCCCCCCCCCGTCGCCCGTCGAAGCGCCCCCGTCGCCCGTCGAAACGTCCCCGTCGCCCGTCGAAGCGCCCCTGGGACCCGCGCGCGGCCCGTACGGGCTGCGCCAGGCCCGCGCGCGGCCCATACAGCTCGCGCGCGGCCCGTACGGGCTGCGCCAGGCCCGCGCGCGGCCCGGGCAGCCCGCGCGCGCCTCGTCCCGCCTGCGGCAGACCCGTGCGCGCGCCTCGTCCGTCCCCCAAGCTTCTGTCGGCGCCCCACCCCCGCTACTGCCCGCGTTCCTGTGTTAGGGTTTGGGGGTGGCGGGTGTGGGGGTGCCGGTTGTGTGCCCCGTCCCCTCCTTCTCCTCCTCCTCCGTCTCCCGCTGCTGCAGCTGCCGCTCAGGGGGGTGGGTGTGTGGGGAGCCGACGGAGTGGTACTAGGGGGGTGAAAGGGGAGTGGAGCTAGGGGCGAAGCAGGGGGTGTGTGTCGAGGGGTGTGGGACTGTTGGGGGAGGTTGAGCGGAGGCCGCTGTCGTGTCGTCTGCAGCGCCTGTATTCCGGGGTTCTGATAGCCACCGGTAGCTCAGAGAGCCGGTTGCACCTGTCGCCCGTGGGTCCGTTGCTCCTGTCGCTGCTGATCAGACGCAGAGCCTGTTACTCCTGTATTCCGGGGCCCTTGCTCCCGGTAGCCACTAGAGCTGCACCAGAGCCGTCTGTTGCCCGTGTGTCTGCATCTTCAGTCGTCGCCTCCACTCTTCTCTCCTCTCGCCAGCCCTCCTCCTCCTCACTTGCCCTCTGTGACTGCCTCTAGCTTTGCTCATAAAATGTGAACTACTATTATGACTGCTTGTTGTGCTGATTACACCCCACTTTGGCTATGGGGGTGTGTCAGAATGTTGTATTTGTCTAGCCTGCAGTGGGGTACTCTATAGCGAGTACAGCCCAATCTAGGGTTTGCTATTTGTATCTCAACTGCTGCTAGTCCAAACCCTCTTTCTGTTTCTAAACTTTGCCTACTACTTCTGACAGCTCAGTCAACTAACTTCGGTTAAAATGAAGCAAGGGGAGAAAGCGGGACCGTATGTTAATCGGTGCCGCAATCTGCGCGATCAAGTCAAGAAGTGCGGTGGTTCTGTCCCCGACGACATGTTCATCTCAATGGTCATTTCAGGCCTTGGCCCCGACTGGCGTCAGTGCCAGTCACTCCTTCGCGCCCGAGCAACCATATCGGAGTCGGCTCTGTGCGCCACGCTTCTTTCGGAGCAGAAGGAGATCGACCTGTACAACGAGAAGAACGTCAAGCGGGAAAAATTAGCCTTCTACACAGGAGGATCCTAAGGGGAGGCAAACGACGAAGCAACACGACAAAAATATTATCAGAAGACAGTCGGCTACCGTGCGGACCCAGCAACATGGCACCAACGACTTGGGCATCCCTCTCACGCCACGCTTAAAAATTCGCTGAAGGCTGGAGTCTTCGACAACGACGCGCTTCTTCTTCCCCGAGACGGTTCCCTCACCGTGGACTCTCCCAATCCACCGTGCATGGTCTGCCCAACTGCATCACTCAATCACAAGCCGTTCCCCGACCTACCTCCGGGATACGAACGCTACAAACCACTGGACAAGGTCTACAGCGATTTCTTGGTGCTCAGCCAGGAAGGGCTCGATGGAGAATTCTACACGCTCACCTTCATCGACGCCTCTACGCGCTACGTTTGGGCCATCAA